AAAAAAAAAAAAAAATCCTTTGGCCTGCCACACTCTCTATTATTTTACTGTGCTTTTGATTAGTAGGGAATTGGGAGGGAGAATAGTAAGGAATAGAATGTGTTGTCAAAATAAAGAAATTCCTTTCTAGAAGCCCAAGGTTTCTACGCCTCTGAGCCCGACCGGACCTGGATGGACGGAACTGCCAGCGTGGCAGTGGAAGATTGGACCATGTGATGGACTTGTGGGTGTGGGGGCAAGCTCATGAACTTTCAACTGGATGGGAACCCCAGGAAGTTTTCAGATTTGGGTTTTCCACAGATGTGCCAACATGTCTCTCCTTATAAATTGGAAGTTTAAGGGAAGCTCTGCCTTGGACTCTGATTTAATTTTGGATGATATTTGGAACGCTGACAGCATGCAGCAATGGCGGATGAAGGCATTCTGCAATGGCGTGTGGATGTGATGAGGAGTGACTGGGCAGGGAAGGGCGGGGGTGGCAGGGAGGGGAGGGGCCATCCAGTGGCGTGATTTGCCGGTTCTCCGAACACGTAACATCCGGTTTGCCCGAACCAGTCTGAACCGGCTGAATCCCACCCCCGTTGTTATGCCTAGACCCAGGAAGCAATTTCAGGAATTTTAGTCTTGTCTTAGGCATGAGGCTGGCTGGGCCAGACACTCTCTCTCAGCCCTAGTAAGGAGGCAAGGGGAAGCATGTAGTCCAAAAATGTGGCCAAAGAAATGACAGGGATTACTCCAGAAGTCACCAGAAATCATGGCACAAAAATGAAATGAAACTGATCAGCCTGTTTTTAGCACATTTCTCATCTATCCTGCATGAAGTTCTGGTTTAAAAGGAACGTGGCTTGGATTTTCCCTTTGGAGTCGCTTCTCTTTTCATTCTGCCTCTTGATGATCTTCCTCCTACCCTCCCAACTCATTCTGTGAGAAGGCATCAAACAAGCGGTGCCCAGTTTTACACCACTGATGGTTGAACTTCCCACCGCTGCCATCTTGCCAGAAATAAACTTGAAACAGGCCTGGTAGGAATGCGTACCTGTACACCAGGATATCATCAGCAGAGCTGTTGTACTGGATCTGGAACATTCGCATCCCAGGAATATGGTGCTGCGAAGGCCACTGGATGAGGGCAGAGGACGAGGTCAGCTCAGCAATGGCCACTTTCCTCTCTTGGAGAGATTTGGTTTCATTAGAGAAGCTGGACTTGGCTGAGATGAGGATATCCGATGGACCCCGCTCAGCTTCTTTGCCAGAGTTCGTGCTGTTAGCAAGATAAGGATATGGGCTGACCAGAAGTTCAACGGGTGCAGTGGACTCCCCTGCAGCGTTGGATGCTATACAAGTATACGTACCCTGGTCTTCTATGGAAGTCACTAAAATATCCAAAGTCCCATTCTCATAGGAAATTGTTCGGGAAGTGTTGGAGACCAATTTCCCCCCTGGTGAAATCCAGCGCATGTATGGTTCTGGATCACCCATTGCTCTACACTTCAAGGAGACCCTCTGTCCTTCCGTGATCACTTGCTTTGCTGTTCTGCGAGTGATCATGGGTGGTTCACAGACAAATTCCTCCTCCTTAATAGACCAGAAATACTTGCCCATCAGCTCGGGGGGGGAGGCACAGGTTTCCAGGTCGTCTTCCCTAGTCAGGCGCCGTAGCCACACTAGCTCACAGTTACAGTGCAGCGGGTTCCCTCCAAAGCTCAATACCAGAGACGACAGAGGGGTACCCTTGGGCTTGGCATAGACAGGGATGCGGGAGAAAAGCGGGTCGGGGGGGATCTTCCTCAGCTGGTTAGAAGTCATGTCCAGCCGAGCCAGTTTGTGAAGGTCGGAGAAGATGCCTTCAGGGACAAAATCTATGAGGTTATGATCCAAACTAATAGTATTGGCATTGGAAAGCCTCCCGACCGTTTCCCAGGGGACCTTAACAAGATTATTATAGGATAGATCCAGATCCTCAATTATGTCAATGAAATCATCAAAAGATCCAGGTGAAATGTAATGTAACTGGTTGTTACTGAGAATTAAGTGGCGAAGGTTGATCAATCCTTTGAAGTGATCCTCATCAATATAAGTGAGGCGGTTACTATCCAGGTGTAATGCATGAAGACCTTTAAGATCAAAAAACGCATAAGGCATAATATGACTGATTGTATTTCGTGATAGCGTTAAATGGATCAGGTCTGTCATGTTTGCAAAATCCTTCCTTCGCAAAGTCGTGATGAAATTATCCATCAGTCGGAGTTCTGCTGTCTGTCGGTCAATGGCAGGAGGGACAAAGAGCAGCCCATTCTTGGTACAGAGGATGGTGAAAGAGGGGGACACCCTCTGGCAGCTGCAGCGCATGGGACACATCAGGGCCCTCACAGCCATGGTGCTCGTCATCAGAAGGCAGAGGAGAAACTTTTCCATGGTAAGATATAAAGGGCACCTAAAAAAGAAAAAAGAAATGGACAAATCCATGAATGTGAATTTGAACCAAACACGCTTTAAACATGAAAAAATAAAGAGAAAGCAACATTTGCCTGGGGAATCTACTTGGTTACTCCTACATCGGGCTAATTTTTCAGCTAATCTATCTGCTGTGGACATTTTAAAAAAATAGCCTGAGACTGAAAGATGATTGTGGTTGGAGTCCAGAATCTCATTCTGAGGTGCTCTGGCCTCTTGAATTGCTTTCTACATAAAACCGGGTTTAAGGTTTTAAAAGAAGGCCATACAATTATAAGATCATAGGGAGAGGAAGGGACTGCAATCCCCTTCCCAGGTCAGGAATTATTTCCGATAAAAGGCTTCCTACCCCTTTTCTGAAAAATTCCTGGGATGCAAACTATAGAAGGCAAGGTGTGTGTGTGTGTGTGTGTGTGTGTGTGAGAGAGAGAGAGAGAGAGAGAGAGAGAGAGAGAGAGAGAGAGAGAGAGACACCACAATGGCTTCAAAGCAGAAATCACAGAGGCTTCAGATTTCAACACCACCTATCTTATCTTATGCCACATCAATCATTAATGGAAACATTGTTCTTATGATTTTACATACTCTAATGTAATGTCCTTGATGGTGGATGCACTTAGAAAGATACATTTGGGATAGAACTGTGCTCCTATGAGAATTACATTTCTTCCTTTCAGCCGCATTAACCTTTTGAAACTATCCAGGGTGCTTACAGTATTTTATTCCTGAAACTGTTACACTGACATTGCTCCTGCTTCCTTTAAAGGAAGCAATAACACAGATATAGTAATTATGTTTACTGCTTTGGCAAAAAAGCAAGAAATATTATATAAAACCATGAAAAATAACTTATGTATGTGGGTCAGAATTTTGCATCAGTCTGCCACAAGATGTCAGGAATGTTCAGAGCACACCGGGAGGAAGAACCCCTTGATCTGCCATGAGCTTCCTTTTCATATCTTGATCAATTCTCCTGCTGCCTGATTTGAATTTTAATGTGAGCTGATGTCCGGCAAAGGGGGGGGGGGTTGCCACATCAGTCACACTACTTTCCTACCAATTAATTCCATCGTGTTTCCTAGTTGTTGTAATAGATCCAGCCCTTCTTTGTCTGATGGTTGCATTTTGTCCGTGCGTTTGTATCCTTGAAATTGCAAACTTAAAAATATGTCTGATACAAACAGAAGCATTCCGACTGGTAGACTTCTCATTATTTTGAAGGGCCAAATTCTTTTCCCACCACAAACCTCTTGCAATAGAGCACGAAGTTGATAGCAACCATTTGCACACACCTCACTTAATTTTTATCCTCTATTACTCCAATGTTTCAAAACTGGTCTTCCTGAAAAATCTATAAATTAAGTGCAGCGCAAAGCAGCTTCCATTCACTTGACAATAAATCCATCTAGGTTAGAGGAAGGCTACTCCAAGAAGCTCAAGAGGAGGTTGCCTGATCAGACCAGACCAAAAAGCCCATCTCGTTAAGCATCACGAGAGGCTGCTACAGAGAAGCAATGAGACTCCTCTCTAATTCGCTTAACGCTGCAGTCTCTGAAGAAATCCTCCCTCAATTCTCTCCACCTCACTGGGGGGGGGGGTCTTTCATCTCCTTTCTGAAGATGATTCCATGACCAATGATTCTAGGAAAGCGACCTCTTTCACATGACCACAGAATGTGATTTTTTTCAGCCTTCCACAACCCACATCTTTGCCAGGGGTGGGTTCTGGCCGACGTTACTGCCGGTTTGATCGTGGGCACGCGTTGGATGAGTGCTGTGCGCACATGCACAGTCCAATGGAAATTGTTCTGCGCAGGCGCAGAACTAAAAAAAAAATATGGCGGCAGCAACGGCGTAACTGGGAAACCGGTTCGGGGGTGTGGCCAGCCTGGGTTGCTGCCGGTTCTGCGACCCAGGCCAGCATACCACTACCGGTTCAGCCGAACTGGGCCGAACCGGTAGGAACCCACCTCTGATCTTCACTCACCAGACATACTGACATACTTGTAAACCCCCCCAAATTCTAAGCCCCTCACAAAACCTGAATGTTGCCTTGGTGCCATTACAAAAACGAAAACCCACCCTGGAGCCACTGGAACAATCCAGAGAAGGGAGGGAGGTGGGGTTTTCCTTTCCTTTCTTGAGAACCTGCCCCATCACCAGTGGAAAAGACACAAAGCTGCTACAAAATAAAAATGCTAATTTACAACCACCCCAAGGGCCTCTAGGCCATGCATACTCTTTGACTGACAACCAGTTTTTCTTCCCATCTCATCCTCTTCACTGCGAGATGATTCTTTCCACACCAGAAGCTCAACGTTGCCTCGGACCTCAGCTCAGTAAAGTGCTCTGTCCCTTTTTTGCTGTAAAGCCACAGCAGCCTATTTTTTTCTGCTATCAGTGGACCCACGCATTTCCTACAAGATGCGCAAAATATTTTCCCATGCCTCATAAATGTGAATAGAACTAGGCTGCCCACTGGGGGATCCCGGGTCCTTGCTTCTGTGATCCGAAAGGATTTCTGTGGCGCTGGACTATCTCCACCACTTGCTTTCCAGAGAAACCTCCCTCTCCCTCCCTTCTTGCAAGCAGATCGGCCAGGCCTTCTTGAACTCTTCATAGCACCCCTTTTCATGGGTGATCTTTTTCCCAGAACAGAATCACCTTGACGCGGGGATCTTAAGGCCGTATCGACCTTTGACTATTCGAACGGAAGCCCAAGCGCTTCCTAAAGAAAGCACTTCCTTTAGAATCAGCAGGAACACAACCGTTCGCCTCCTACAGATCTGCAGGGAAAGCCTGTTCCCAAGAAAAGGGCCCTGATGGCGGAGCCCCATCTCCAACGTGCCCACCCTGGACTTCTCAAGGCAGGGGCTCCACGCAGGGAGATTCCACTCGAGGCCGTCTGTCTTAATCCTGCTCCATGGGGCGTTAGTCGGGCAGCATTTGGAGTGCTGGGTCAAGTTCTGTAGACTTCACTTAAAAAAGCACATGGGTCAGATTGAGCGAGTCCAGAGAAGGGCAGCAAAACGGTTCAAGGTCTGAGGGAGAAAACACATCAGGAGAGATCGAAGGAACTAAATACGCGCAGCCTGGAGGACAGAAGGGAAAGGGTGCATGTGACTGAAACCTTTACATATATTAAGGGTGGGAGTAAGATTCTAGAAGGCAGCATTTTCAATATTAAAATATTGACATTTTATTGAAATGCTTCAATATTTCAGTTTTCTATGGTTCTAGCTTCTCTTTCCTCATTCCAGAAATAGGGAAGTTTTGTGTTCTACCTCTAAGCTTCTCTGAGCAGTGGGGAGACGTCAGCTCCACATTCTGAAAGGACGGAGAGCAACACAGCATAACCTTTTGACCAGGCAGAGGAAGCACAGGCAGGCGGGAGGAAAGAGGCAAGGTGAGAAGAGATTCTGCTCTTACTTTTTAAGCATTCCTCAAGTGCACTCCTAAATGAGCTCCAGCCATGCATCTACTTCCTTCAGAAGCTCCTTCCTGATGGATGTACTTGATGTGACAAGTCTTCTACACAAACTTGCATTTTCTCCGCTAACCCAGCAGTTCTAGTGGTCTTGGAGGAAGCCATTCTCCCTGCAATTACAGAGACCATTCTTTTGTACTGGAATTCTATTGGAGCAGAGACTTTGTCAGGTGATGGAACAGATTGCAATAAAAAGGGCTGTGTATGAACACATGCATGTATTTCTGTTTATACGCCTGCCCATCTCAGCCATAGGTAAATCTGGGCAGCAAACACAATTAAAAACATCAGCATAAGAAAAATGTAGACCCCATAAATGTATTTTAATATCTTTAGTTCTGCATAAGGTAGCATTGCCCCCGACAGACCCAGTACACAACTCCCAACTCCTCCCCAAAGAGCAAGTGGCAGTGATGGCTAGAAGAGCCTTTGTACAACTGGGGAGTTGTGTACCAGTTGTTCCCTTTTCTGGATTGGGAATCCCTGCACTCAGTCACTCACACCCTAGTGATCTCTCGCTTGGACAAGTGCAATGTGCTCTTCATGGGGTGACCCTTGAAGAGTATTCGAAAGCTACAAACCTGGCTGTGAATGCGGCTGCGTGGACAGTTCCAGGGTACCCCAATGCTGTTATGTAAATTTCACTGGTTACCCATTTGCTTCCAACTCCGATTCAAGGTGTTTACAGGTGTTATCACCTTTAAAGCCCTTTATGGCAGGGGTCCAAATTACCTGAGGGTCCTTCTCACCCCAATGGAATTGGCTCACCACCAATGCCAGCAGAAAGGGCATGCGGCAGACCACGTTGACCAAGGAATTTGGCCTGGCGGTGTCCAGGAGATGAGCCTTTTCTGCTGCAGCCTTTGGAACCCCGCAGTCCTTGGGGTGAGATCTGCCCCCATCCTTCTGTAAAGATCTTAAAACCTGGCTCAGCCAGTTGGCCTGGAGCCTGGATGGGTGCCTGTCATCCTGTCGTTACTGGATTAACTAGAAGAGTCCCCTCTCTGCTCTATTATTCCCCTGCCCCATCTCTGCTATTTTAGCTATTTCCTGTTAATTCTATTGTATTTATTGCCTCATTGTTTTATTGTTTTAATGTTTATACTAATATCTATACTATAAGCCACCCAGAGTTGTGTGACAGCGAAATGGGTGGTGGATAAATGTAATTAATAAATAAATAAGCAGGGAAGCAAATTAAAATGGAAGCCAGGAAAAATCCATCCGTAATAAATTAATACTTCACTGGCTCAACTAAACAGATGAGCAAAGGCCCAGGGTGAGTTTGTCCTCTTCAAAGGTGGAAGGTAATTGATCTCTTCAGCACTTTGGGGTACAACCAGCTGCAGCTGCCATTCCAATAGAAAAAAGAGACTCGTGTGTGACATCACAACACAATCCATGCCCTTATGAAACTGCACCCTGATGCCTGATGCAAATATGTCAACTGCACTGAGACATCCTGAAGTCTGTTTTCGCACTCCACGCACACCCCCGCAGATGTTGATGAGAGGATTCTCCACTGCAGACTTCATTACTCCAGCTGCAAAGCCACAATTAATGCCAACCATCTGGAATCCAGCTTAACGCCCTGACCCTGCACTGGTTTTCATGGCCCTTCATCAGAAATTAAAAGTAAAAAGACAGAGCAAAGCTAGAAGCACCCAACTACTGTAGCAGTTACAATTCTAAATGTCAGGATCCCACTCCCCACGTAAGCTTTTGTTAAAGCACGGACAATATGACCCGATCAGAGCCTCATCCAGCACAGCACGGACCCTGACTACCCTTCCGGCCTTCCGCAAAGCAATTAAGACCTGGCTGTTCCGGCAGGCCTGGGGCTGTTGAATTATCCAGCCCCATCCGATGTTATGTCTGTTGCTGAATTTTTAATTGTTGTTTTTATTTTTGTAACCCCCCCCCCCCTTTTTATTGTTAGCCGCCCTGAGTCTTCCGGGAGTAGGGCGGCATACAAGCTAACTAAACTAACTAGCATCCTGCTTCTGCAGCAACCAACCAGGTGCTTCTTTTGGGAAGCCTTCCAACAGGATACAAGCAGGGGACCTGGGCTCCCTCAGGCTCCCCAGCAGCTACCCCCCCCCCAACAAGGCTGCCAAATCAATACCCCTTCGTCTGTTCCAAGCCTCCCACGGGAGAATAATTGATCTGGAACGCTAAAGGGATGCATTGCTGAAGACTATCGAGCAGCTGGCGGTGAAGATGGTACTTTCCCCTTTTCTAGCACTGAGAACCAAAAGCACGAACTGCCATCTGTTTACAAGGGAGAAAACTTCCTCCTACCAGAAACAAGCCTGTTTAATAATGGTACAACAAGATGACCTATTTAGGTAGCTGACTCTGCCGGTTCTATGCTCAGTGCTCTTCGGAGAGTCCCAACACTTATATGCAAAACAGGCCATTTATTCCATCAAATAAATAGATTGCGCTTCAGAAAGAGGAAGAGAGGAGCAATCAGAAATATGAGACACTGATAATTCACACTTTGCCAGCATTTTACCTGCTCCTATTTTGGATCCAATGTATTTTCTTCCTACACTTCCCCATGCAACAAGCTTTAGCCTGTTCTTTTGCTCAAACTCTTGTCACTGATGCTTGGAGCCATTTCAACTTGCTGGTCTTTGTCGATGTTGATGGCAAATGCCACCTTTTTCAGACAGCTCTCCCAAGCAGGAAAGGTGAAAGTGCCCGAGGAGCTCCAATCTCCACCCCGTATTTGAAAGTCAGGAGCTTCTTACAGAAGACGGAAGAAAGATCAGGTGGGACACCAAAGGATTTCCGATTTCCGATTCACCTTAGAAGTCCCGCATGCCACTCATTCCATTATGCCAGCTCAGCTGCCAAAGATATCAATGTGCACCTTGTACATTTTTAGCTAAAAATTATTCAAAAGGGAATTTGCAAATTGAAAGCAACCCTGTTAGTCATTGTCATTGTAGTGAGATAATGCAAAATTGAAGGAATAAGATTGCCTTCTAAAATGAATGTAATCTTTACTTATTTTAACTGTTACATTTCATCCAATATTTCAAAGTATCGATGAAGACCAAACTCTTGCACCTCTTGAATGCAAAGCTTCCTCCCGCAAAACATCAGGCTCCAGTGCAGAAAAAAATCTGCAACTCCCTGGTTGACAGGCTGCCCAGCTCCATCTCTACCAACAGCTCCTGCTGTGCCTGGGGATGAAACCGACACTCCAGGGAAGGACGTGGGAAAGAGGAGGAGGTGAGAAAGCCCCAAACACAAAACAACAGTGGATCAGATCAAGACAGCGGATTGACTTAGACTTATATGCCGCTTCATTGTGCCTTATAGCCCTTTCTAAGTGCACAGAGTCCCCATTTGGCCCCCACAAGTAGCCAAGATTTGTCCTTCCTTTTCTTTGCAATCTTTCTTCTTCCAAACAGAAATCTACCTGGATTTTGGAAACTGCTCCTTTTGGCCCCTGCTGCTTATCACCAACAGGTTGTATACAGGGGAGTTGTTACCCTGTTTCCCTGAAAAGAAGACCTCCCTGAAGCTCAATCGGGCCTTTGAGTGCATGCGCTAAAATAAGCCCTCCCCTGAAAATACTGCAACACAGCAGCAGCCATGAGGTGGCCACGCTCGCCGCCTCCTGCGCCTCAAAAATAATAAGACCTCCCCGAAAATAAGGTCAAGCACTTATTTCGAGGGTCAAAAGAAAATGAGACCCTGTCTTGTTTTGGGGAAAACATGGTGTTACTACTCTTTTATTTATTTCTCAAGTATTTTTTAGCATACCTGTGACACCCTCCCCCCCCCCATTATTTTCAAGCTACAGTCTAACCTCTCTGGACCAATGGCGTATCTGAATTTTGGAAGCAGGTTTTGTCCCTCTTAGCAACCCACAGAGGCATATAACCCCCCTTCCCCAAACCAATAATATTCAGAAAGCAACTCAGTAAATCAATCAATAGCAGGATGTCTCTCTCTTCAATGCCTAGCCCACTTTTTTAATTAACACCTAGAAGAGAGACAAACTAGCTCTTCCTATTTACATCTTGTGAGCTGTGAGATAAAAGAAATTTCCAGCTCAAGGTGTTTTAAAGAACAAAGTATTTATAAAACTGTTATCTAGAAGGATACTTATTATTTGTGCTTTTTAGAGATTATGTGATTCTCAATTCCTTACACAACATAATCAACAACAGAATGCACAATATAATTATTAATGTTTATCTTATTTTCAGAAAATGTACAAAAGTTCGGAATAGTTACATGGTAAAGTAACTACTTTTTCTACTTATTGCTATAAATCAGTTTTTAAAAAGGTCACATAAAATTCACTAGATGAGCAAAAGGGATGCTGATCGTTCCCAATTATCCCAAAAGTGCTTTATCAAAAGGCCATTGGAGTTTGTTTTTTCCTTGAAAATGTTTCACTTCTCACCCAAGAAGCGTCTTCAGTTCTGATTGAATGGAGGGGGGAATGGAAGGATTTATATTCCTTGCACTCTCTAACTAAGAGTCATTGAGGTCACTTGGGGGTTTATCTATCCCCTCAGGATCCCTGAATCAGAGTCCAAAGGAGTGTGGAACCTTCTTGGCACTGCTAAAAAGACTGTGTTGTAAACAGGAGATGGTGTTCAATGTTAACGTGGGTGGCCTCTTTAACGCCTCTTTCAAACCAATGGTCTTCCCTATCCAGAATGTGGACTTTGCTGTGGTCGTTCAAATGAGAGTGGACTGCTGAATCTTGTCCTGAGGTTTGTTCTCCTATGTTGTGCCATGTATTTATGGAGTGGTTGTTTACATTCTACTGCATATATCACATTGCTGCATTTATGTCTGGATGTTTTATGCTTGGGATGGACAAGCTTCTGCCTCATCTGTGTGTGTGTGTGTGTTCTGTAATCAACTCTGTAATGTCAGTTCTGTGGACTGAGACATTCAGTTCACATGGGAAGATGTCAAGGAAAATAGTCTAGCTTTCCTGGACTGAGCACTACACATGAAGAAAAAACAGAAGCCTTAACACTGATGTTTACAGAACCCCACCCCCACCCCCACAGATCAGTATTTACATTTTGATTCTTGCTACTCATTGGAGCACAAAATGAGAGTGATCAGAACCTGATCAGGGATCTTGGAGTCCTAGTAGACACCACTTAATTATGAGCCAGCAGTGTGCTGCAGTTGCCAAAAAAGCCAACACAGATCTAAGCTGAATTAAGACGTGACCCGTCAAAAGCGCGGACGGCAAAAGCGCGATCGACAAAATCGCGCCTTTGACGTCATCACAGCGCGACGAAAAAGATCGAAAAATTCAAATAAAAATTAATAAAAATTAAATTAAAGCAAGCCGATTCACATAAAGGTAAGGGTTAGGGTTAGGGTTAGGGTTAGGGTTAGGTTAAGGGTTAGGGTTAGCTTTAGAGCGTTAGCGTTAGGGTTAGGATAAGGGTTAGCGTTAGGTTTTTCGTTACTTTAACGGTTAGGTTTAGGGTTAGGTTTAGGGTTAGGTTAAGAGTTAGGTTTAGGGTTAGGTTTGGGGGGGTTAGGGGAAGGTTTTAGCTTTATTTTTACATTTTTTCGATCTTTTTCGTCGCGCTGTGATGACGTCACAGCGCGCTTTTGTCGAGCGCGATTTTGTCCTACGCGCTTTTGTGGTGGAACCAATTAAGATTATAGAATCGATAACACGGTGTATTACTATTACATTAATAAGGCCTTGGCAAGACCACACTTTAAATATTGCCGCCAGTTTTGGTCACCATGTTATAAAAGAGATGTTGAGACTCTTTTAGAAAGAGTGCAGAGAAGAGCAACGAACATGATTAAAGGACTGGAGCCTAAAACATATGAGGAACGGTTGCAGGAGTTAGGTACGTCTAATTTAATGAAAAGAAGGATTAGAGGTGACATGATAGCAGTCATCAAATATTTGAGGGGTGCAGGTTTGAGCAGCAGGTTGGACTAGAAGACCTCCAAAGGCCCTTCCAACTCTTTTATTCTGTTAACTGCTTCCGAAACACACAGGAGAGCAAGCCCATCAGTACAAGATTCGGTGATCCTTCTGCATTTGAAAGACAAAGATCACTTTTTTGAGGACACATTCTAAAGAGGTCATCTATATTAAAATTGAACAGCCTTCTCTCAACAGAAGGGGAGGGATAGGACATCTATCTGGCACCATTTATCTCCTGTTTGCAACACATTCATTTCAGCAGTTCTAAGAAGGCCCCGTACCCATTTGCTCTCTGATTCAGGTGACCCTTAGAGCACTTAAACCCCCAAGTGGCCTCAATGATTCCCAATGCTAACAACCAGATAACTGCAAGGAATATGAATCCTTCCACCACCCCCACCCCATTCAATCAGAATTTAAGATGCTTCTTCGATGAGAAGCAGAAAGTCTTCAAGGAAAAAAACAAAGAAAGTACAACTGCCGCTTGAAAAAGCACCTTTGGGACACCCATATAACCCGCATGACTGAGTCTTCATAGATATTCAGTTCCCAATTTTTTTCCCCCGGATTGCTTGTCAGCCTAGATTCACACTGTCAACAAGGCATAGTTTTCAAGCCAGTTCCAGACCCTGCACACATCTCTCTCTTTTCCACCTGCTGTCCTTCTCATTTACTATTCTTATAAAATAATAAATGCAGAATATTGCTGTAACAGTCCAATAAATAAATAAACTTTCCAAGCACTCAGATTTCTGAATTACAAGGTGTAGCCACAAAGATGCAGCTTTCAGGAGAGGACCACTGAGGACCAATTTATCAATGGGTCAGGAGGCATCTATGGCAAGGAACTCTTTCCTCTTGCCCATTCTTCTTGCTCCCAGTTAAGCCCACACTTGCACTCCTTCACGAGGGCAACAATCTGTCAAATGATGTGAAAAACAGTCAACATTTTTGCACAATTCTCAGCATCTGATTTTACAAAGAAAAAAAATATATATTTTTAAGCTGACAATCCCAGCAAAGAGCAGGACCAAGTGCTGGGATCTTGGAACTGACTGGGCAGGTGATCCAATATACTTTTCTGGTGTTTGAAGGATACTGAAATTCCCAGGACAGTTGCTGTGAGGAGAAGGTTTTGACTAATCATAAATACAAAATTTTTGTTGTAGAGCACCTGAGGGTTAGAGCTATCAGGCTCAGGGAACACTGGCTGGATTTAGGAGGGGGGAAGCCGTTTTTCTCCCTCCAGAGGCTTCCCTGAAGCGCAAACCAGAAGTGTGTTCCCGAACTGACAGGGCAACGCCTCGCGTGCCCTCAGAAATGGCTCTGTGTGCCACCTGTGGCACGCGTGCCATTGGTTCGCCATCGCGGATATATAGTTATGGTAAAGGGGGGGGGGTTAACCTTTAGATGACTCTGACTTTTAAACTGGGCTAAAATGAAACTAACCTTTGCATTACTTTAACTGTTAGATTGCACAAAAGTGAAACTAACCTTTACATGACTCCAGAACAATTATATGGAGGTGGGTTTTTTCTAGTTTATAATTGGTTAAGGCCCTGTGTGCCTAGAGCAGTGATGGCAAAGCTTTTGTGGCTTGCGTGCCAAAAGCGGTGGGAGCGCGCGGGGGGGGTGTCGTGCATAGGCATGCCCCCCCTAATGCTATGCGCACCCCAGCATGCATGCGCGCCAGACTAGTGTTCCCCCTCCCCATTTTTGGTGTGCTTTTTTCGCCCTCCCCAGGCTCCAGAGGCTTTATAGGAGCCTGGGGAGGGCAAAAACAGTCTCCCCCCTCCCGGAGGCCCTCTACAGGCTTCAGGAGCTTCACTTCAGGTTTCCTGAAGCCTCCGGAGTGTGAAAAATGGGCCCTGTGGGCAAACCGGAAGTTTGGGAACGGACCTCTGGTTTGCTCGTAGGGTCGTTCTTCGCCCTCCAGAGTCTTCAAGGAAGCCTCTGGAAGGCCACTGAAGGCTCTGGAGGACAAAAACGGCCCTATGGACAAACCAAATGTCCAGTTTGCTCCTAGGGTTGTTTTATTGCCCTCCGGAGCCTTCAGGGAAGCCTCCTGAAGGGCCATGAAGGCTCAAGAGGGCTAAAACCAGCCCTACGAGCAAACCGGAAGTATCTTCCTGAAGGTCCGGTTTGCCCGTAGGGCCAGTTTTTTGTGCTCCGAGGGCTTCAGGGAAGTTCCTGGAGCCTCCGGAGAGCGAGAAATGGCCTCCAAAGAAGGCTGAAGTCAGCTAGCCAGTGCACACATGCAATGCCTCGCGTGCCCGGACAAAGGACTCCATGTGCCACCTGTGGCATGCGTGCCATAGGTTCGCCATCACGGGCCGAGAGTATAAAGAACAGGCATTAGCCTGCAGTTCCTCAATTCCATTTTTGAGTCAATAAAAGCTGTTGCAGCTCTGCTGGCCTACTGAAGCCACAATCGTATTCTTCACTGTGGTAACAATGAGGAATATTCTGAAAAGAGAAACCCACCTACTGTTACAGGTAGTCCTTGATTTACGACCATTCATTTATTGACCGCTCAAATGTACAATGGCACTGAACAAGGTGACTTATGATCATTGCAGCATCCTCACAGTCATGTTATCCAACG